TACAGGACCCTGCCTTCTGAGCCGCAGTGATGGTCCTAATGGTGGGATTGGAACACGAGCTGGGCCAGTTACAGAGCATGGCCACACCTTGGGCACAGCGACTGGTAAGGAACCAACATCTGACCAATGGGGCCGATTGCAACATAACTTTGGGATTTACGACCTTAGGGACTACAGCGCGTGGTGCTCACTTCTTCTCTGCAGTGGAGCCGAGCAGCTTGGAATTCGTCATGATGGCGTTTCCTACCATGTAGGAAGCCAGGGTGCCTTAGAAGAAATGATACCAACACCCAGAGATGCCATATATGCCTTTTCCAGCTTTCCCGAGGCACAACCACACCTTGACCTTCCCGCAGTCCTATTAGCCTTCCAAATACATTTTCCTTTGAGTCTAAATGAATTTAATGTGACTTTTGACATTTGCAACCAAAAAAAAAAAAACCAAAACCAACAACAAAGCCACTGATTGTTATACTATATAACAATTTAGTGTTTTGGTTTCCCAAAAGAAAAAAATACTTCCTGATTATGAGAAGATACTCATAAACACATTCACACAGTATTGAAAAGTATAATATATAAAATAAAAAATAAAAGTTACTATAATTCTACCATCCAGACATAAATCATTATGTTTTAATATTCTTCCAAGCATTTCTTTCATTTGAAAGATAGATAATTTTAAAAGAGTGCAATTTTATAACATACTATTTCACTAAAAACATGTTTGGGGTATTTTTATAGAACAGTAATTCTAAATCTACATATTAAAGATAGGTACATAGTATTGTACTATATAAAATCGCTATTAATGTACCCAGTCCCCTTTTTGGGCATTTAGATTATTCCAAAAGTTTCACTATTATAAACAACACAACAATGAACATCTTTGTATGTACATTTTGGAGTAGTCATCCTCTCTAGGATACATTTCTCACTTCTCAAATTCTAATACTGTTATTTGTCTTATGAGACTCAACAAGTGTTGGCCACTCTTCCTGTATCCTGCCCCATCAATTTCACAGATGCCCTCTTGATTCACTTCTTATTCATTCACACTGCTAACAAACATTTACTGAGAGTATGTTATGTGCCAGCCATTGTACTAGATTATGGAGAAACAAATGTGAGTAAGTTGGGTTTTTATTCTTGAGGACGAAGAAGAAACTAGCATCTATTGAAATCTGAGTCTGTGTCAAGCAATGTATAGGATTCCTTATCTCGTTGGTTCTTCCTTAAAAAAACAGCAACAAAACCCCCAATACTGTACAGGGGTTAGTCTTATCTTTTTTATATACAAATGAGGAGAAGGAAGATCAGAGAGGTTGAGTTGCTTGCCCAAGATCATACAGTCAGTAAGTGTGAAGCTGGAATTTGAACCCAGGGCTGTCTGGTTTCTTTGTCACACATAGTTTAAGGAGATGTGAAAACAAATGACAAAACCAAGCTGTAGGTGTTCTGTAAAATCTGAACAAAAGGATGTACATATTTAGGTGCATCAACCACAATGATCAGCAGAGAGCTTTCTAATAGTCCAGGTTAAAGGGTCAAAACCCTACTTGAAAGGATCTGCTGCACCCCACAGACCTTCAGGAGGCTCTCGGTAAGCCAGAATGTTTGCCAGCTGGGACGGCGGCAGTGGGGAGAGTAGTAAACAGTCCCTGTTTAGAGAAGCTGAAACCAGCAGGTGTAATGCAGGGTCCTAGAAAGATCAGAATGGCAGTTGGACAGCAGACAGAGCCATTTGAAAGAAGAGCTCAGGGGAAAAGGACAAACTGTTGAGAGGTCTCAGGGGTTAGGCTGGTGGAGGTGTCAGGCCCTTGGGGTGAGCGCACGTTTCCCTGGAGGAGCCTGGAAGCATTGCTTACCAGGCACTGGGCTGCAACGGCTGACTAAGCTGGGACAGCTTGTCACTCGGAGTCTGCTGAGGGCTTTAGATTTGTCTGGACAAGATCCACAAAGCTGACCAGGCATCACCCCATGATGTCAAGCCTGGAAGTGCTTCCCCAGATTGACAGGCCTCGGCTCTTTCTTTCTCTCTGTAATAGAAGACCTAATAAGCAGGGTGTGCATGTGCTGGGAGTCCGTCTATGGAGCTGGTGCGTCCATCCTTCCTCTCCTCGCATGTGTTCCCAGGTGGACTCTATGCTGTGGCTGAACCCCTCATTGAAGGGATCATGGCAGAGAGCAGTGAACTCCCAACCTATGTTACCTCTCCCTCTTCTTTTGCAAACGGGATCTTGAGTGAAACACCAATAGATAAAGCAAATGAAACTGGAGACGCTCCCAGCTGAGTGGGAGTTGGGGAATGCGGGGATCCCCTTCCTTGCTGGGATGTTTTGTTTGATACACAGTTTAAAACCCACTGCCATCGCTGGAAGAGCCCTGGATTGAAAGTTAGAACCGCCAGGTCCTAATCCAGGGTCTGCCACTTTGAATGACTGTGGCTTTTGATAAGTCATTTAACCTCTCTCAGACGCCGTTTCTTTCATCTGTGAAGTGAAGACAATAACCCTTGTCTACTCCAGAGGTGACTGTGACCTTCAGGGGCAGCATTGTGGGGGGAAAACGGCTGTAAGATGCCGAAAAATGAGAAATGCTCCTTTCCTGGGCTTCTCCACATTTGCATAGGCCCATGACTTCTCTGCGTCCCTGGGCTAGGTGACAAAGCCACACATGCCACTTGGACCCAAACAGTGTGGTCTACTTACTTTTATGGCTTCCAAAGAGAAATGGTCATTTTGAAGGTAGAATTCTTTGGGTTTTTCTCCACTCCATGTTGTTATTCTTGGATCGCCCTTTGCAGTTTTCTTTGACAGACAGACAGATAGACCCACTTCTGTGTCTCCATCCCACACACCAGGAGGCCCAAACCTGCTGTCCTCCAGTGCACTCACCAGGGTCACAGTGTCTTCTGTAGCAGGTGCTCCATGTGTGCCAGCTGATTTTGTCACTTAGATTTATGACTGTCTGGGAAAGCCATTTTAGCTGAGAAGGTCATTTCCTCTCCTTCTCTAAGAGTTGTATCCGAGAAACCGTTATTTCTGATGGTTCTCCTGTTCTCAGTATTTTATGCTGCAGCACCACACGTGGTGGAAGCAGTCTGAGGCAGGCCTCACACCAGCACAGCCAGAGGTCTTAGGAATGCAGCCATTCCTAAGGTGGTGGTGGTGGAACAGTGATTTACCAGTGGGATCATCTGTGGGATTCATCAGAGGGGAACCACATCAATTCCTCAAAGTCATGGGCCAACTTAAATAGTGGGCTTGATTTGGAGGGCAGTTTAGTAAGTTACGGTGCCAACACTTCTCAGCTGCCCACACTGCTAAGGCGTTCTGTCTATTGCCCAGGGTGGGTTTTGAAACTGACTTGGGTGATGGGAGTTGTAGCTCCACGTTCCCAGAGAGTCACCAACTGTATACCAAAGTATATGGGTGTGGGTGTTGTATTAAACTGGATAGGATTTGTTTTCTGAGTAGGAACTCATCCGGTATTATTGTGATTTGTACGAATAGAGTGGCTCTAGGCCCATGATATCAATGGTCACCCCTTAAGAGAGAGCGAGTTGGCTCTCCCGAAGGGCCAGTGGCCCTGATGACCCATTATGGGCAGGATAGGAACTGGGTTTCAAATGGGGGCAATAATTCTGTCCCACATCCCATCGACTAATAGAGCTTAATTTAGCAGCTGCTCACTCAGGAGACATTTACTTCTGCACCCGTTTTTGATGTTTCCTACGGGTTCATAACCCGCTTGAACTTGGTGGAGCCAGAGAGACTCTCTGGAATTGCATAGCTCACCTTTGCATTTTCTTTTGAGTGACACAGGCCAGTGGAAAGCAAGAATAAATAAGGCGAAAGGAGAGAGGCCACGAGCAGAAGATTCTAGCCCTGAGATTTTTGGCAGCAAGATCAATTCTTCTTGCCAGAGGGGCACTTGAGGCTTTCACTGTTTGGCCTCTTCCCACTGCTCGCATCTGTTCTTCGATGCTCCTCTAAAACGTGGTCATCCTGGGACCAGACTTCAGGCCATTGGTGTTCCCCTAGAGCTGGACGTAGCACAAGACGCTTCTTTGTCTCTTCCACTCTCTCCACTCCCGTGGCCCATCCCTGTGTCTTTCCACAGTGGTAAGAAGACATCACACATCCTCCTCGTAGCTCCTACCCCATGGTCTTCACAGGCAGGGTATCCTGTCCACCGGTCTGCAGGCAGGTGTGTGGTGTCACCTGATGGCAGGGGTCCCAGAGGAGCATCCGGACCCCTGGGCCCACCAGCCTTCAAGCTGAAGACCAGAGAAGTCACAGGCAAATAGGTGTGAGATGTGTTTTGTGCCTGCACCCAGCATTTGATTCTGATCCCCGGCTGTGCACCATGAAGGGGCTGGAGCGTGCACGGGGAAATTGAAATCTCAGTTGGTTGATTGGTTTTAACTTCCCCACCAGACCTTTTGCCAGAGCTATTAATTTCCTCATTTATCTCCTTTCATTTTCTTTGTCCAACCTCTGTTTAGTGAGCTAATCGACCATGACAAGCACAAAAGGCAGCTGCCACGGAACGGGGAAACAGGGGCCTGGATTGTCTGCACACTGGACCATGGGCTCCTGAACTGATGGTACAATCATTGCCCATCTCACAGAGGCGAGTCGGGTCTCATTGTCCTTCACCCCACTTATCACTCCTAACACAGGTCTCCTCCGCGAGGCCCCTCCCCTCCATGGGGCCTACCCACCAGGGCAGAAGTGCAGAAAGTGCAGCTTGCTTCCGGGGTGGGAGCGGGGGAAAGATCTGACTGCTGCCAAGGCAAGAAGGAGTCCTGTGTGAGTCTAGGATGGTCTCCGCCTCAACACTGGCCAGTAAGCTCCGAGAAATGCAAATACCCACAGGTGCAGGCTGTGAAACGGAAGTGACCCTGGGTGAGGCTGACTGGGCAGCTGGCTCTCCACTTTGCATATCCTCATCGGAAGTTAAAGTTAGGTTCTGGTTCAAACCAGGTGGAGGGCCCACAGTTAGCTACTCCCCGTCCTGGCCAAAGCAGAGTCAGAGATTGGGCCCAGGTCATCACTGTGTTGGGGGAAAGTCAGGTGAAAATCACAGCTACCCTTTCCTCTCCCCTGAAGATCGTAGATTTAATATCTGGCCAAAATGGGCCTGAAGTATTGTGGAGTCTTGCCTATTCTAGCCATCGCGATGTTGTCAAGCCCATCTCCCTCTTTCCCCTACCCAAGACCTAACATGTCACCAGGTCCCTTCAAAGAGGCCCCAGCCTGGTATCGCTCATGAACTTTGCCAGAGCCAGGCCCACTAACCTGTCTCCTACAGCCCTCCTTGCTCAGCTCTCTTGTGATTAATAACTCCATGATGTGCCTTCCTTTCTGTGGTCTGGCCTCACTCCTTACACCCAGCGCTCAGCTCCTCTGGCCTTCAATTTCGCTTTCCTCCTCAGCCACCCTTTGCATCTTTAGCAGGGAGCTGCCTTGAGCCATGCAGGCTCCCAGGTGTGCAGGACCCAGGCATCTGGAGGAGGGCAGCCACCTCAAAGGCCAAAGGAGGACAAGGCGTGTCAACCACAGAGCCCAAACCGAGAGGAAGCTGTGGGCTGTGTGCGCTGGTGGAGACGCCTGAACAACTTAGTCCTGTCAGCACCCCCAGCAGCGCCAGCCTCCTCTCAGCTGTGAGATCTAAGCAGAGCCCTAAAGTACAGGAAACAAGGCCTTAGTTGCCATTCCCCAGGGGCACCCGTGTTGTGCCAAAGTCGTGGTGCCCCTGCTGTGTCTTTGCAAGACTATACATTAGACAGAGGATAATGGTTTTCTTTTTGAAAAGGGGTGGGAGAGGAAAGGATGGTGGTTGCAGGCGGGGTGTGAGGCATCCAGTCAGCTGCCTTGTAGCAGTGGTTGTCAGGGATGGACAGAGACTTGTCCGCTGTGGTCTCCAGACCCTGTGTGAGCGTGGTGGGGAGGGGGCTAGGCGGGGTAGAGACTGAGGAGTGCTCAGAACCCCCACCCCTTCGCTTCCCCAGGCAGTCTGCCCAGACCCCGTCAGCGAGAGCACGCTCCCTTTGTTGGTTCTTGTCCGGGGAAAGCTATCGATTCCTTTGCTTCCAAAGCCAGGAGGCTGGTTGTGACTGGATTATGGTCACTAGGACAACAGGTGAGCAAGAGAAGGGGCTGAGAGGATGGCGGGAATTTTAGGAAACTGTTCCCCATAATCCCACCTGGCCTGCTTTTTTTCACACGGTGTTTTTTCACAGTGCTTTGACAGTGTTGACTACCCACCAAGCAGGCCACGGTGCTGAGCACACGGGTCCATGTACCAGGGACAACAGAAGGCATGGAAGGCTCTAGTCACAAGGAGTTAAAGTGGATGAGGGAGATGACATACGAAACAGGCATGTACAACAGGATCTATGTGAACAAATGTAAGAATTACGCGGGGACAGAGAGCGAGGGGACAGCCATTCCTCAGCAGCCGTCATGGACACGTCGACAAACACAACGACGTGGGCGCCTCAGTTAACCTCGGAGATGGCTTCGGATTCCTCGGGTGTCGGAAACCCCTGTAATCTGAAGTGATAACTAACATTTCTGCTCAGACATTGTTTCCAATAGTTTATTCTGGAAGAGATCCTGGCTCCTCTGGGAATCACTTTGGGGCACATTCCCTCCAGGGACGAGCTACAACCATCCGGCATTGGTTGCCTGGGTGGTGGAACAGCAGCTGACAGGGGAGGACCAAGAATACAGGAGGCTCAAAATACAGCGAAATGGCTGACCCCTCCGAACCTCCACGCCTAAATCAAGCAAGGCATGCACCTGACTTCACACCTGAGCAATGGCTTTTGCTCACTTGTCTGTTTTTGTTGTGTGGAAGGAAATGGGTGCCAAGAAAGGTGAGTAATAAAAGAAAACTCCTGTTTTACCCTGATTAGCTGAGAACAGACACAGAGAAGATTTGCTTCTTATGGGCGTTAACGCTGTAGAGAGCAGATCTAGGGGCATGGCTGACATTATGGCCTGGACAGTTCTTTGTTAGGGGAACTGTGAGAATTGTAGGATGTTTAGTAGCATCCTTGGCCTCACCTGACCAGCCCCCACCTCAGTCATGACAATAGAACATGTCTCCTGACAATAGAACATGTCTCCTGACACAATCATGACAATAGAACATGTCTCCTGACACAATCAAATGTCCCCCGGAGGCAAAATCACTTGCAGCTGAGAGTCACTGCTACAGACAAAAGGGTTTGGAGTCCAGGCAGCACCAAGCATAGCCCCTGCCATTTGCTTCAGAAAGTGCTTGACTTCCTGACTTTCAAAATGAAAACAGAATCATGGGAGGGTCACAGGAGGTCATGGGTTCAATGTGGCTCAAATTAGAATGACATGTAGTGCCTTCCCAAGAAAAAAACGTTTTGAGGATTTCCAGTGCTGACATAAATTACTTTTATAAGATGGTTAATTGAATACGTACAAACATGAAACTGGGCACACAGCCCACAAGCTTGCATGATTTTGACAAACCAATTATAAAACTGGTAAAACTCAAGAACCTTCATTGAATGAGACAGATAGTGGGATTTGGTGGAGTAAATCACCCTTGCTTTGTCACTTGGGTGCCTAGTCACTTCTTTGAGCTGTGACTCAAGTCACCCATGACACTGTCTCTTCAAACTCCTGTGAAAACTCTGGTTGGGAACCTTCCGTGAGGTTATTTGGCAAACATAGACTTGACTCATTAAGGTCACCTGTGTTTTCTTCTCACTGGCGTGAGACAAGAGAAATAGCACATGTGGCCCCAATATGATCATAAACACACAGAGCGATGATGGCATTGTGAATTCTAAGGGGGACATATGGAGGACCTACATGATGCTCATATTTTGAGATGCATCAAAATGGAAAGAATCGCTTATTAAAAATTTTTAAAAGTTCCCACAGAGAACTTCCAAAATATACGAGGAGATTCTCAGAGGAGTTCTGATGTGGTCTGATCCTCTTTACAGTCAAGAAGCGAGGCTCAGAGAACCACCCTGGCCGGGGCTGGCTGCACCGGGGCCTCTGCCTGGGTAGCCATCGCTCTCTCCTCTCCTCTGGGCCCTCTTTCCAGCATAATGTGATAGAATTCTGATGTGGAACTGTGCGTAAGACTTGCCTTATTGTTTTAGAAGTTCATTCAACTGAACTGCATACTTAAAGTTCATTTTTTAGGGCCGGCTGAGTGGCGTGATGGTTGGGAACTGGCTTGGGATGCCAGAGGGCCCCGGTTCAGATCCCACATGTGGGGGCCAGTGACACTGCCCTCCGCAGCTAAGACGCTGAACAACAGCTCAACCTGGAGCTGGGCT